TCGTTCGGAAAGAGTGGCGTTAAGCATTTGGAACATGCTTTGTATAAATATATAAATACTGCTCTTATAAATACATGTGCAGAAAGACAGTAGTTCAAAAGTTGGGATTTACTTGCTTTATTTTTTTTTATTTCAGGCGTTAGGAAATTTTATGTTTAGTAAAAAAAAAAAAAACTGAGCCTACTTCTTGCTGTTTGCTTACTTTTATCAAAAAATAAATAAATTTATCAGCCGGTAATGAGTAAAGTAGTATTATTACTTTTTAAAAGAGTAATAACTAACTAGTAATATATTACAATTTCTGGGTAACTTGCCCAGCACTGGTCCCAGGAGATTATAGTTCCTAATCTTGTACGTGGTATTATCTTTCTCTAGGCTCCGGAGAAAAGTTCTGGGCCCAGCGGCGCCGCCACAAACTTTGGGCCCCATGACAAAAAGCTCAAACAAATACTAGTGGTCAAAAGCTTTACATAACTCTAATTAAAGGCTTGCAGCTGTCTTGTTTCTCGTAGTTCAATACTAGTACTAGCACAATATTTACTGCTGCTGATTTTTACATGCAAGTCTGCACACAGGATGCAGTTCACTATTTGATGCAAGATTAAAAGCCGCCATAAAAATGTCCTTAAGGCAATCTTTTACAGTCTAAATGTATTTTTAGAGTAAAATTTAACTATGTATAGATGTCATTTAACGGCCATAATTAAATCTAAATGAACGTATCAAACTGGAATATATTTAATGTCTGTAAATTACATGCAGGCTGAGGACGGTCTGTGATCCCTCTGGCTGGATGAAGCCTGATGCTACTGATCTGCATGATCCATGATGATGAAAAAAATAGAAGCATACTGTGGATATTTTAGAGACCCCCCCCAAATATTACAAGTCATGTTTTCAGGGGAGCTCATGTCTTATTAAGAGGAGTAAATCTCCCCCAGGCTCCCATCTAGTTTGCACCCAGGCCGTAGCCTCGGGTATTTTCTTAGATCGCTCGGGTAACCTGCTGCTTCAGATCAGCCCGAAAGCTGTAGCTTGTGGGTAGAGTGGTCATCCGCTAACCAGAAGGTTGGTGGTTTGATCCCCGGCAAAATGTTGAATGTTTTGTATTCATTTTATTTCAAAGATGTGTACGTCTCACTAATGAGATGTGAAAGCATAAAACATTTTAGATGAATAACAACTGTCACAACCTGGCTCAAGGTTCATGACAAAAGAGGGAAAGAGGCAGCATAAATGATGAAAAGTGATTTATTTAACAACAGAGTGACTAAACAACTATTTAAATGTGCAAGGTGTGTCTCTGTAACATAACAGTCGGGGTGGTCAGGCTGTGGTTGACGTCTGGTTTGCAGAGAAGGTAGAAGAGAAAGTAGTTTGCCCAAGTGGAGCTTTATCTCCCGTGGCCCACAGGTCCAAGGTGCACCCGATCAGCAGTCACCTCAACAGAACAAAGATGGTTAATAGTGGCGAGGTATCGCTCCCACAGAGTGATGCCTCACCGGATCACACAGGGGCCGTCACACAATAATATCTTAGAGGGCTGATTTATCTGTTGGGCTCAGAAAACGAAACCTTGATGACGGAAAGAATAGATCAGAGCACTGTGATCTTTAAAAAGGTCATTACGCTCATTTTCAGGTTCAAAATCTTATTTTATTTTCTAATAAAAAACACCCTATTTTTGTCATACTGCACATTGCTGCAGCTCCTCTTTTCACCCTGTGCTGAAGGCTTCGTTTTATCTACCAAGTGAAGCATCTCACTTCGATTCCATCTTTGTTGGGAGTTGCACATGGCGCAGTACCTAGGTAAGGACTACTAGCCAATCAGAAGCAGAGTAGGGCGGGTCCTGACAAGCCAAGGTAGTGTGATCCATGTTCCAGCCAGAGTCTGATTCCGAAACACAGGCAGAACAAGCAGAACCAGCTTTTCTTAATCTGTAACTTATAGAAATACAGGCTGGTGGTCGACCTGCTGGGCATTGCTGCCTGACGCACCTCCACCGGTGCCTTTTGTGCAGGTGTGTGCTCCACCTTTTGGGCATAAAACGGGTCATCAGCTGGGGACCACCAGTCGTGGATGTTTCGCTCCTTTAACCCCAGTACATCTCCTGGTGGCGGAGCGATGGCAGGAGTCACTCCCTGGCACCCCCTGCTGATGCCCTAGGTGTTACTTGGCCCCCATGCCCTATTCTTCCTCCTTAGCCACAGCCAAAAGCTGCCCCTCTCTGCCTCCTCTGCCAGTCCTTTAATGGCTTTGACACCCTGCTCCAGTACATCCCATTTCACGGAGCAGGCGAACCATTGAGGACCCAACGAAGCCCCTGCATCCCACTTCAACGGGACACGTGATGGCTTTCCAGCCAGCCTCTCTGCAGTCTTCTACCAGGTCCGCATACTTGGCGCGCCTCCGCTCGTTGGCAGCCTCCACTCCCTCCTCCCATGGGACAGTAAGCTCCACCAACAAGATGGTCTTGCCGTGGCTCTGACCACATGATTAGGTCTGGCCGGAGCAAAGTTTCTACGATCTCCCTGGGGAATTGGAGCTGCCTCCCCAGGTCGACCCTCATGTTCCACTCACTGCCAGATAAGAGGACTCTGTTGCTCTCTGGTGAGGGTGGTTGATTTTTTTTTCCGGCCCTTGCAAACAGGATGGGACTTTTCGTTTACCAAGGTTTACCATTAGCCTCCTGTCTACAAGCTTCCTCAACACCAGATCGTGTAACACATTTATACTGAGCTCTGTCTCTACATCACAGTAACAACTTTATGTCCTCCAACTGCCTGGAGGGGATCTAACCTTATTTGCCACACTAGCTGCTAGTTAACGGAAGTAAAGGTTGGACTACGCTCAGGTTGTTTTCAGGCAGTTCAGGAGCAGTGTTTTCTGTGGGAAATGGGAGCTCCCTTTCCCTTCAGTTAGCAAACTTGTTACATGCACAAAAAAGTAATATATAACACAAAGGAAGAGAGGAAGAGCCAAAAGGCAGAATACGACCTCTTTAAACATCAAGGGTCAGATTTACTGAAGGTCTGTGTGAGTAAAAAATGTGTGCAAACGTGATATCAGCAGCAAATTAACCCGTAAGCTGATCTGCTAACGGCGTGCAGCAGAATGACGTCTTTCAAATGTGCAAGATAGCAGCTGTTCATTTATTACTTTCACCTTAGTGTGTGTGTGTGTGTGTGTGTGTGTGTGTGTGTGTGTGTAGCATGTGCTCCATTTATTAGGTATTTATTTAGAGAATGTGTCCGTACTTCAAATATTTGCTCAGTGTTTGGGCCCCTACGTAGAAGCTTCAGACAGCTTAAAAATGTGTTATTTCTAATGTTTGTACATGTATTTTAAAGTTTTGTGAAAAAAAATAAACTGAGCTGAGCTTGGCATCCTGCAGCGACAAAGACTAAAACTAAACTAGCAAACCCACGTTAAAAACTAAATAAAACTAAACTGAAAAAGAAAACAAAAAGTCACAACGAAATAAAAATGATAATAACCTTGCTTGGGAAGTCATTTGTCCTCATCTCCTAACTCTAAAACTTTCCTGATGAGTTTCTGGTCTCAGTCGCTAGTTTCAAGTCTTCTTCAACACATCATGATGTTCATTTAGTAAATTATGGTCCCATTTAGAGGAACAGAGACCAGGAAGCAGGGGAGGCTTTAGGGGGCGGGGCTACAAGCTGATTGACAAGTCTCTACCATGGCGACCTGTCAATCAGGATAGAGGCGACTCGTATCCGCTGCTCTGTGTACATTTAACCAGCGCCGCTGAAAAAGCTCATCAGGAGTCGGCTGCTCATTTTCCAGGAAGTACGTTTTGTTTTAAGCCTGTTTGTTGCTAGTCAAAATTAGCATCCCAGCTAATATCACAGCTAACGTAAATTATGGCTGCACCTTGCTAACCAAGCTAAATAGCTCCACCCTTTTGTCCAAATATGGTTCCTTCCCGTGGCTGGTTGCAAAAAAAAGAAGATGGCGACGGCCAAACTGCCAAACTCGAGGCTTCAAAGCGGCGGTCCACAAACCAACGGGTGACCAAAAAATTCAGTGTGAGCTGCTAAGTCTGTGGTTTCAGTCTATCCTCGTGTGAAAGATGTTATTAGTTTTCCTCTCAGTAATCAGTTTTTTATCGGTTATTGTCCACAATGCATGATGGTCTGTAAAGAATACGTGGCAATGATCAGGTTACGCTTGTTCTCCTGGCTGCCCTGAAGGGCCACGCCAGTGTTTTGTTTCTTACTTGTTTCGACTTTTAGCCAGAGAAAATGAGAATCAGAGCTTGGAGATATTGTGGTGTACGGTGTTTTGAGACAGACAAAGACATAATAACAACGTCCTGGTCCTAAACCTGCCCTGAAGTTCAAACAGCAGATTTAAAATGTCTCCACACGCCTCAAAATCCATCCAGGTGGAATTTATTTTCTGTCTTTCGCTAAATTCAGGTGATTATTTTGCTAATTATTGTTGTTTTTCTGGGGGAGTTTGAAATACAGTGAAGCAGAAAACAAAAAATAAACATGTTATTGGTTCATTCTTTCAGATATAAGATGGATGTTCTCCACCAGTTACATACAAAGTGAACTGGACGATGTGAACGGTGCAAAATTCACGGGAGTGAAAAGTCTGCGTGTCCTGGGGCTCTGCAAAGCGTCATGTGGGGAGAAGCGTGCAGAGCGGACAGACAGTTTGATGACAGGGAGCTCTGGAGGAGACCAAACAGTATTAAAAAAAAATGAGCATTTTAAAAGTTGTTTGCTTGAAATCAGACATTTAACAAATTGGCATAGTGATGAAGTTATTTCGTCGTCATTTTGTGCTGTTTAATGCAATTAAATCACAGAAAACAGTTTATTTTAGGACTGCGAGGCGAACATTCACTTTGCATTGTATGTGAACACACCATTAGAGGACAGCAGAACAGGTCGGGGCGAGACATTCTGTTTTAGTGTTTGAGTTTGTAGACTTTTGTCTATTCTTTGAACGTGTCCTCTCTGCAGGTCTATCTGCAGCCGACTGGGCTCAGACATCTTCCAGAAGCTGTACGAGGACCTGAAGGAGGCCAGACGGCGGCGGCAGGATGACGACGAAAGCGTCACCGAGGCTCTGAAACACCTGCAGGACCAACCTGATGATGGTTTCCAGGTGGATCAGCTGCTGTTCTACGAAGAGGAGCTGCAGAGAGCGAGACAACAGCAGCAGGAGGAGAGACCGCCCGTCTGACAGGAACAATCTGAGGAGGAAACAGATTTGTTTGTAAACTGTGAACAGCAATATCAATTAAAAACACAATAAATACTAATGATACTTCCTTTTTGTGTGTTTGAACACATGAATGAATGAATCGATAATTATTCCAATGATATCGTTATGATTCTGATGTGATGTGTACACTTTTGTACTTTTAACTATTTGAATGCAGGACTTCTACGCTGTGGTACTGCTACCTAAATAAATGTATAAATACTTCTTCCACCACCATCAGTTGCAGCAGTGACAGATGAAAGTCACGCTCTGTTTGTGTTTGCTGACCGGTCTGCAGACAGCTGGCTGCCGGTGTTACAGCAAAGTAGAAGAAGGAGGAAAGTAGGTCAGCAAACACAAAGTTCAGATCAGATCGTCCCTCCAAGGGCTTCAGATTCACAGCCAGATAATCAACCAACCGCCAGGAGTCACGGCGCTACTTTACACTGCACTACAGCCACACGCTGTGTATATAAACACGCAGTTGGAAAAGAAATAAGCTTTTTATTGTGAACGCACTAACCGTTCGTCTCCTGATACTTTCTGACAGCTCATGTTGTGTCTGCGTCTTTAATCCAGAGAGCGCCGTGCTGTACTCGTCTTTTAATGACAATCTCTACTGTCAGTACAAACATGTCCGCATTTTGGTGTTTTATACCCCAAATACCGCAGAGAAGGAGGTGGGAATTCAGCCCTGAGTGGTGCCTCCACCATCCTTATTCTCGGGTTGCATGAACAACTCCAACAACCAGACTTGGGTGGCCGGCGCCGGGGACGCTGGGGACGCTGGGGACATGTCATCTTAAAAAATGTTCTAAAAATAGCTCGCAGCCAGAAATGTTAACTAACAAATGCTTTGAGAAAGGTTTATGCGCACAGTAAGCAGAGCAGCTCTCATTTCTAGAAATCTGGCCAAGTTTATTAGTGGACCAAATCCATGACAACCCAGAGTTGAGACCAGGAGGCAGAGTCGCAGTCTAACACACTTCTCTGCCCTTCTTTTTCAGCAGTTACCCACCCAAAACCCTACGCAGAGTCGCAGTCTAACACACTTCTCTGCTCCTCCATTTCAGGAGTTACTTAGTGAAAATCCAGTGTCTGCCCCCCGACCATCGAAATTATTTAAAAAGGTAAACGGAAGAGGAGCTGTGCATAAAAACCTCATAAAAATTAAAACCACAAGAGCAATAGTGCAAACGAATAGGAAAATTAAATGTGGACTCTTAAACATCAGATCTCTCTCTTCTAAAGGTGTACTAGTAAATGAACTAATATCAGATTATGATATTGATTTATTTGGTCTTACTGAAACCTGGCTGGGTGATGGAGAATATGTTAGCCTAAATGAATCCACCCCTCCCAGTCATATTAATACTCACATTCCTCGAGGCACAGGCCGAGGAGGTGGAGTTGCAGCTATCTTCGACTCTAGCCTACTAATCAGCTCTAAACCTAAACTAAACTATAACTCATTTGAAAGTCTTGTTCTTAGTCTTTCGCACCCAAGTTGGAAATCACTGCAACCAATTCTCTTCGTTATAGTGTACCGAGCACCTGGCCCGTACTCTGAATTCTTATCTGAATTTGCAGAGTTTTTGTCAACTTTAGTCCTTAAAACGGACAAAGTTATTATTGTAGGAGATTTTAATATTCATGTGGACGTTGAGAATGACAGCTTCAGTACTGCGTTTATCTCTTGTTAGATTCCATCGGCTTCTCTCAGAGTGTTCATGAACCGACTCACTGTTTTAACCACACCCTCGACCTTGTTTTGGTGTATGGTATTGAAATTGAACATTTAGTGGTGTTCCCACAGAATCCCTCTTTGTCCGACCACTGTTTGATAACTTTTGAGTTTGTATTGCTGAACTACTCGCCATTGGGCAAAAATTTCTATACAAGATGTCTGTCTGATAGTGCTGTAGCTAAATTTAAGGATGCGATTCCATCAGCTCTAAATACATTATCTAGTCACAAAGTAACGGAGGACTCCTATGCTAATTTCAGTCCCTCCCAAATCGATCATCTTGTTGATAGTGCTGCAGGCTCGCTGCGAATGACACTCGACTCTGTAGCCCCTCTAAAAAAGAAAATACTAAAACAAAGACGGTTAGCTCCATGGTATAATACTGAAACTCGCAAATTAAAGCAAATATCACGGAAACTTGAGAGGAATTGGCGTTCTACCAAAGTGGAAAATTCTCGTTTAATTTGGCAAGATAGTCTTAAAACTTATAGGAAGGCCCTCCGTAATGCCAGAGCAGCGTACTACTCGTCATTAATAGAGGAAAATAGGAACAACCCAAAGTTTCTTTTCAGCACTGTAGCCAGGCTGACAGAGAGTCACAGCTCTATTGAGCCAAGTATTCCCATAGCTCTCAGTAGTTACGATTTCATGAGCTTCTTTAATGATAAAATTCTAGCTATTAGAGACAAAATTCACCAAGACCTGCCCTCAATTGGCACCGACTTATCTCTTAACCAGGAACCTTAGAAACAGCTGTAGAACCAGATACATGTTTAGACTGTTTTGCTTCCCTCAATCTTTACCAACTAACTTCAATAATTTCTTCATCTAAACCATCAACCTGCCTCTTAGACCCCATCCCGACTAGGCTGCTTAAAGATGTTCTACCCTTAGTCAGCACCTCTATACTAGATATGATCAATCTATCTTTATCAACAGGCTATGTACCACAGTACTTTAAAGTAGCTGTAATTAAACCTCTTCTGAAAAAGCCCAAACTTGATCCGGATGTTTTAGCCAACTATAGACCTATATCTAACCTTCCATTTCTCTCTAAGGTTCTGGAGAAAGCAGTTGCTAAACAGCTGTGTGACTTTCTACAGAGCAATAGTTTATTTGAGGATTTTCAGTCAGGATTTAGAGCTCATCATAGCACAGAGACAGCACTGGTGAAAATTACTAATGACCTCCTTATTGCATCAGACAAAGGACTTGTCTCTGTACTGGTTTTATTAGATCTTAGTGCTGCATTTGATACCATTGACCATCAGATCCTATTGCAGAGACTGGAATATTTCATTGGCATTAAAGGAACCGCTCTAAGCTGGTTTAAGTCCTATTTATCAGATCGATTTCAGTTTGTACATGTTGAACGATGAGTCCTCCATGCACGCCAAAGTTACTCATGGAGTTCCTCAAGGATCTGTCCTTGGACCAATCCTCTTCACTTTATATATGCTTCCTTTAGGCAATATTATCAGGAAACATTCCATAAGCTTTCATTGTTATGCAGATGATACTCAGTTATATCTATCGATCAAGCCAGATGAAACTCATCAGTTAGCTAAACTTCAAATGTGCCTTCAGGATGTTAAAACCCGGATGACCTGTAATTTTCTCATGTTAAACTCAGATAAACTGAAGTTATTGTTCTGGGGCCTAAGCACCTCCGTGACACATTATCTAAAGATATAGTTTCCCTGGATGGCATCACCTTGGCCTCCAGCACCACTGTGAGGAATCTTGGAGTTATCTTTGATCAGGACATGTCGTTTAAGTCTCACATTAAGCAAATTTCAAGGACCGCCTTTTTTCACCTACGTAATATTGCGAAAATCAGGAACATCCTGTCTAAAAATGATGCAGAAAAACTAGTCCATGCATTTGTTACTTCTAGGCTGGATTACTGCAATTCCTTATTATCAGGCTGCTCGAAAAAGTCCATTAAGACTCTTCAGCTGATCCAGAATGCTGCAGCACGTGTTCTGACAGGAACCAGGAAAAGAGATCACATTTCTCCTGTTTTAGCTTCTTTGCATTGGCTTCCAGTAAAATCCAGAATAGAATTTAAAATCATTCTTCTTACCTACAAAGCTCTTAATGGTCAGGCACCATCTTATCTTAAAGAGCTCATAGTACCTTACTACCCCACCAGAGCACTGCGCTCCCAGAATGCAGGGTTACTTGTGGTTCCTAGAGTCTCCAAAAGTAGACTAGGAGCCAGAGCGTTCAGCTATCAAGCTCCTCTCCTGTGGAACCAGGTTCCAGTTTGGGTTCAGGAGGCAGACACCATCTCCACATTTAAGAGTAGGCTTAAGACTTTCCTCTTTGATAAAGCTTATAGTTAGGGCTGGCTCAGGTAGTCCTGAACCATCCCTTAGTTATGCTGCTATAGGCCTAGACTGCCGGGGGATTTCCCATGATGCACTGAGCTCCTCTCTCCTCTACTTTCTCTCCCTCTGTATGCAACCTCATCCCATTATTGCATGTTACTAACACAACTTCTCCCCTTTCTGGTAGTCTTGTGCTTTCTCGTCTCTCTCCTCTCTCCTCCTATCACTTCCTGCAGGTTTTCTGGCTCTGGAGCTGTGGAGTCTGGATCTGTGGTTGCGGGTCACCTGCTGCCCCCGTGTTCCTGCTCGACACCCTCTGCTGCAACGACTATTGTTGCTAGTCTTATTGTTATTATTGTTATTATAATCATTAACATTACGACTGTTACATTAACACTATTATAAATATCTGTACCATTTTTCATTCAGTCTATAGCAACATTACCTTCACTGTGTGTACCTCTGTGTGTATATTGTGTAGGCTGCCTCCCTCCCCTCTCTCTCTCCTTACATCTCTCTCTCTCTCTCTCTCTCTCTCTCTCTCTCTCTCCCCCCTTCACCCCAACCGGTGGAGGCAGATGGCCGCCCACCCTGAGCCATGGTTCTGCTCGAGGTTTCTGCCTCTTAAAAGGAAGTTTTTCCTTGCCTCTGTCGCCTAGTGCTTGCTCTTGGTGGGAACTGTTGGGCTTCTGTAAATAACATCACAGAGTACGGTCTAGACCTGCTCTTTATGAAAAGCGCTGTGAGATAACTGTTGTTGTGATTTGGCGCTATATAAATAAAATTGAATTGAATTGAATGCAGTGCCATGTAAATATAGAAGAAACAAAAGTCCACAAAAAGCAACTTAGGCTAAAACTGCATTAAATTAGTTATATTTTATATTATGAATTATCACCTTCCACTTGAATTTTTGAAGATATTTGATATTGTTCATCATCATGTATGTGTGGATGTGGTGGATGTGGTGTATTGTAAAGTGCTTTGA